CTTGGACAACACGATGGCCATGGTGGACTATGATGCACCCCCACATGGTTCCATCACGATGAAGATGACCACGATTTGGTCTTTCCCACTTCACCTACACCACTTGAGTGGAACGAGAAAGGTAACATAGGTGAAGGTGATGCTCTTGTCCCACTCATGGACGTTCTTGACATTGATTGCTTGCATGATGTTGATCCACCTATTACCATGCTTCATGCTAGTATGATTTCTCCATGCGATGATTTACCCATTTATGATGAGTTTGATGATTGTCATGAGGAGTCTATTAGTTGTGATGCCATGTTACATAGGATTTCGTGTGCTAATTCTCTTGGTCACATCATGTTCGACAATTCGCTTGACTTGTCATATGCTATGCATGAGATCACCCATATTTCACATTTGCAATCTCATCGTAGTGACTATGCACATGCCATTAAAATAAACTCAATTTGCACATATGGCATAGCTGACAAGCCCATGGTTATTGGCATTTGTTTTTCTTGTGATGATATTGATATGCTCCCTTTGCATCATTTATCTCATATGACATGCCATGACCACCTAGCTTCGGACATGCATTATTTTGGATGTTGTTCATATTCTCCATATGATGTTTCCACTATTGTTCATGAGGAGACCCCCATAGTTTCCTTGTATATATTAGGAGACTTTGATTCATCCTATGATTTGCATGATTCCCATGATTGTGTGCACCATATGAATCCCATGAATAAAAATGCTATTGTTGTGCCATACACTTGCTATAGTTTGCATCCCCATCATGTTGAACACAATAACTATCATTGCATGATGGATGACATGTTTCTTTACCGCACCTCAAATTTCTTTGAGTGACGCTTATCTTGTGCTAACGCTCACATGCACATACACATCATGATGGATGATGTGTACATTTATCACGTGCACACTTTCTTTGGTTTGTGTCTATTTTGTGTAGGTACCCATGAATACTTGTCAACCTCGCAATCCCATGAGTTGACAAAACGAGCTCTAGAGAGCAACGATGACTTGGGATTCAGTGGATGTTCATTCCCACCGCTCCCTTCGCACAATGACTTCGTGCATCTCTTCTACATGGCCCTCACATGGTTATGGGTTATATACCACTTCTCACGTTATGCCCATATTGCCATGTTCACTTTGCATGATATGCTCATCTCTATGCCTTTGCCATGCATTTGTGACCCATGCTTTGCATTACACATGATGATTGATTCTCACACTTGTATGTGTATTTGCAAGTTTGGTGGAGATATCTCTTGTTATTGCCATGTTCCATTTGTGACCCATTCATATGATGATACTTTGATCTCGCTTTGTCATGCTTGCCATATGTCACGTGCATTGCCTATGCATATTATTTGCTCACATGACATGATTGCCATGATACCCTCTAGAGTGTTGCATCTTCGCTCCACTAGTTTGCATGACATGATTGCTATGCTTGCTTATGTTGCATCACCCATGATTCATACTTGCTCGTTTCATGCGGTTGATGGCATCCATTTCCATGCTTTGCACATGAGTGCTATTGCTTCTTGTCATACATCTCCATATGTTGACTCTCTTATGCTAGATGACTTGCCATGTATTGAGTGCAACAATGGTCTTAATCTTGCTCATGAGATTGCCCCCATAGCATTCTCACATATACTTGGAGATTTTGACATATTTCTTGTGAAGCATGCTTATCTTCCTTCTTTGCACCATATGCCTAGTGCCATGAGTATAGCCATTGTGTCATATTATTCATGCACTTGTGCTTCTAATGGTTATGTGCAAAAGAAGAGAACCATCATGATGAATGATGTGTTTACCTACCATGCACATACATTGTTTGCTTTCTTTTGTGCATGTGTAGGATACTTGGACTTCGTGTCGACTTCCACTTCACGTGAGTTGACCATTCGAGCTCTTGAGAGCGAGCCTCATACTTTCGACCACGACTAGCTTCTACACCACATTTCCTACCACTTCGGCATTGTGAAGGGCGCACAAGGACATGCTTTCGAGGTGATATCCTTCTCTTTTGAGAACACCCAAACCATGAGCATGCATATTGTGGATCATACTTCATGTGTTGCTTGCACCTTGACACTTTGCACACATGCTAGCGATCTTGCTTTGACTTATCATTGCCACATTGCTATGCCTCATGACCTATATGCCTTGTGTTTTGCATCTAGTTCTTGGATTACTTGCTCCTATCATATGTTTGGTTGCAACAATGCCATTTCTTCACATATGCTATGTCCCATTGCTTATCGCATGATTGACTTGATTGTCGCACACATGTTGAACAATTGCTCTTTCCTTTGTGTTGAGTGCCACGATATCTTCACTACACCCTATGCACATTATGCTTGGTTTGTCTTGCACTTGTCCCATGTGTTTAGACATATCATTATATTTGGTGTTGTGGATGATTCTTATGCCTATCATAGACCTTTTGTTGAGCACTTTGCGCATTCTTGCTATGACCTTGAGGTAGATGCTTGTTCACTTGTCACACATATTAGCATCTTTACCTCCCATTTGCATGCTTGTTTCCATGATGTACTTGATTGTGCTCATCCTATATGCTTACATACCATGCCACACTTCTTTGTCAAACCATATGCTATGCTTGCTGACAATACTTGTTGGGTGAATCACCTCTTCAATGCTTGGTTTTGCTCTTCCGCCAACCACATTTGTTTTTCCAAGTGCTTGTTATCTTTGCTTCTTTTGAAGGAATTACAAGACAGTGCGACACTGGAGAGTGCCCATTTGAAACTACAAGATGACGAATGCTTGGTGATCGTTCACTTCTACACGACGCCATCATCTCTTTCCCATGGTGGTTTGGATTTCGATCCGAGGTCGGATCTTTCCCAAGGGGGAGGGGAAGATGCGGAGCATCCTATGAACATCACCATGTCAAGAGTCCATTTGGCAAGTGACACATGCCACATCTACTTCATACATACAAAGGTGAATCATCTCCTTTACACGTGTCCACTTGTACCTTTCGAGGGTGGTATATTACGTGACCCCTCTCTCGTGTGCCTGCATAGGTGTGAGTGGAGCTACACATTCATCGAGGAGGATTCCAAGTACATGAGAACAACTACACCATCCAAGTGGGAAGCCTGGAAGCGGAGAAGCAACCGTAGAAGAAGACAACAGCTCCCAGGCAACCCCGTGCGCACGGGCCTCCCCAACCCCGTGCCCACGGGCCTCCCAGGCTGGCGGTCCTGAAGACCCCGTGCGCACGGGCGTGTACCGTGCCCACGGGACCCCCATGTCCACGGGCTACGCAAACCCCGTGCGCACGGGCTCATGCGTCAGGTCCCAGGAGACCCCGTGCGCACGGGCTCCACTTACCCCGTGCGCATGGGGCCCCCTGTGTGTGGTTGTTGGGCTCGGCCCTTGTATCCCCACTTCGTCCCTTTCCTCCACCTACCTATATATACCCCTCTCCCTCCTCCATTTAGACGAAGCAAAGTATATGATAGATATTTGTGAGCTTTGCTCCATGGATCCACACCTCTAGGAGATCAAGACCTCCTCTTGGAGTAGATCAACGTCAAGACCCCCTTGTGGGAAGGATCCCCATCATAGGATCACCAAGACCTCACCTCCATAGGAGTGGGATGAACTTTGCCTTGTATCTTTCCTTTTGTTGTTCATGCACCTTGTGGATCTTGTGTTTGTGAGTCTAGTGGATGTGTGATTGGACTTGTTCTTGAGTGTTCCTCTCGTTTTCTCCCTTGTGTTCTTCTTGTTCTTGGGGATTCCCCCTCCAATTCGTGAAAGATCTCCACATAGGGTTCCACCCTACATCACATGGCCTTGGTGACAATGGCCTCGTTCTGTTGCACGGCAGCCGCGCCAACGACGACTTGGGCGACGACTTTCCTCTCCGCATCTGGGGACCTCTGGCCGGCCCTCTTTGTTGATTATTGGGCAAGCTCCTCTAGCATGAGCACCATTTTGGGCTGCTTCAGGCAAGCAGGACAACCAGAAGTGGCTACCAGGATGGCAGGGCTTGGCGGGTAGCGGGAGGGTGGAACGGTGTTTCGGAGGAAATGAGAGAAATGGGAAGGAAGTGGCTCCAACAAGCGGGCTAGGGGAAGGACAAGGGCAGGCATCTTGCGCGTCCGCGCCTTATCCGTTTCTATGCAAATTGTGCCCAAATTTAGGCCCAAAATGGGTCGCGTGTTAGCCATGCTTCTGTCCGTTTGACCCAAATGGACTTTTTTCCTACGGTCATGAAAATACTCTCTCTAATACTTAATTGATTTGCCATGTCATTTTTTCGTTTACACCATGAAGCACTGAAACATAGCTAGTATCATGTATGTCAACTAGATATATTTATTAAGGTGGCACATAATTAAATGAGAAGAGAAAACTAAGTATCATGATATGATACCATATATTATATTAAATGTTGTACTAGTATGTGCCATGCATGACAATAGATAATGTCAATATGATATCAAGTTATGATACTATGCATTGGTGAGGTGATATCATACACGAGTATTATGCATGAGACTGCCCTTAGTGGAATTAAATTGAGAAGTAACATAAGATCCACTCAGCAAATTTACTTACCAAGAGTGTTGCATGACACCAGATACCAAGAGTGTTGCATGATATCACACATGTTATTTCCCACTATAGAGATAGTAATATAGACTAGTAATACATGCATGTTACTCCCCATGGTAGGTAGTATGATACTAGTATACGAGACTTTAGTTCCCATTATGACCAACCTTAGGTGGCGAACACACTTGGACAAAGGGCGTATCTAAAGTGTACTCTCTCTGATCCAATATTGATTATCGCAGATTAATGTAGTACAATGGATAGGAGGGAGTAATTAGGATCTACTCAGAAACATGATTAGTATTAAACTAAAGCTCAAGCTCAATGTAAATTGTTCTGGGCTCCTATTCACCCATATCAACACTTTCAAAACTGCTTTAGCAGAAAAACATAACACCTTTCACATTTTCACTGAGAACGGGAAAGGATCCCTCATGCCCTCGTTTAATATAAAGTCGTCCCCGCGAAGCCAAAAGATGTGCATAGTAGACAGGAGGCACTGCAGAGAAGTAACGAATTGTAATTATCGCCACTTCAATAAAACAAGAGAAAATAAAACCAATCGTCACTAATAATACTTCCTCTGTCCCATAAAGTAAGTGTCAAAAACGCTTTTATAAACGCTCTTATATTATGGGACGGAGAGAGTACTTACCAACTGAAACAGAAGAGGTGCATCTCGCATACCTGCAACATTCGGTATGACAGTGAGTTGAATGGCGGAAATTTTAGATATGCACATGGAAGGAAATTGACAAAATATGATTACGTGTAGCATAGGTGGTTTGTGAGCGTTTGCAAAGCGTTAGCCGTAAACTTGTTTTCATCCCACAGAACATGATAACGCACAGGTCGGCTCACTCCCTATAATGATGCAACATTAGGAAAAGAAAAATCAATCAATACGTAAGTACAATAAACTTAATTGTATATTTTATTTGCACAAAGAGAGCAGCCAACCTTAGTGACAGCATGGCTACACAAATAAAAATCAAAGTCAGTGGGATGGCATACTTCTTTATCAATCACTGTACCTGAAATGAGATACAAATTAATGACTGCGATATTTAATATTGATGATTAATGTTAACAAGCTATGCAAGAACATACCAGGCAGTACATTTCCACTTCCATAAATTGTACTCACAACATCATAGTTATCAGAAAACAGACGGGTATGATGACGTTTCTGAACGACAACAAAGGTAACTCGTGGGCTATAGCAAGGGTCCAGGGATGCACAGGCCTACGTTCATTGTAAAAAGATCATCACTTCAGGAAAAATAAATAAAATTCTATAACAAAAAGAATGTAGGAATAAAATCCACCTTTTTTATGGCAGAAAGTTCAACATCCAAAACCTGATTAAGCTGTCCATTGCTGACACCATCCCTGAAAATAGAGAAATATCAAATACAAAATCTTAGGATGTGCTTTGCAGAAACATCCCAAAAATAGAGAAATATTAAATGTAAACCAAAATAACAAAGCAAACAAAGACAAAGAGAGAGGCACCTGTAAAATATGATTCTCCCAGGTATGCATCCAGTTGCCCTCCTGAAAGAAATGAGGTGCTCTCTGCATATTTTATACTACTTGTGTGAGCATAGACATACCATCTAATCTTCAGATACTTTAAAAGAGAATGAGATTGTACTTGATCATTCCACCAGTTTCTTCATTAAAAAGGTTATTTATGACTTCTTCCCGATGGGTTTGTGGACTGACTAATCCAGCATACTTGGTAATCTCAGGCCAGTCTTGAGAAGCAACAACCTTCACAAAGCACGACATTGCTACAGAATTTGCATACATACTTGCATATAGGTGTCTCATGTAGCAATTTGAATGATAACATACGAACATACAGCTGCAATGGAAGGACTAGAACATCCTTCTCCAGGATGTGGATGACTAACATCAGCGCCAAATATGATAGTCGGTATTTTACCAATACGGGGGAGTTTCCTCTCCAAAGCACTAACAAGTACCGTATTTCTCCCTCCGGCCTACGGAAGTCGAAGGAATGTAATATGCTGCATAACCAGCAAAACCAGCATGATAAAGGATAGAAGAAAACATACCTTAACATTAATTTTAAGGGCAACATTCGCAAAATACTGTTTTTTTGGCATAAAAACATGTTTTGCAAGACAACATTGAGAGACCACTCCAATATCTGTCTCCAATATTCTTTTGATGTCACCTAAATAATGATGACTGTATCAATAAAATATAATAATCAGTCAATATGCTAGTGTATTTAGAAAAAACAAAAATAATACCATAAAGAGTGCCATTATTGTCAGGCAATATTAGAATCAGCAGGTCGAGTTTTTGGCGCCGTGGTCCAAGTATGTTCATGACACGTTTATGGTGTTTCTTGAGTGACCGTGCTACGGATTTAGGGTCATAAGCTGCTACAGGGAGCACAGGTTCAGGCCTGAAGTCCTACAACAAAAAATCAAGTAAGAATGCTGATAGATAAAAAGATGTCTAGAAGCCCTATATGGATTTAAAAGATACCTACCATCCCGGATACATTGCACATCAGCACCAACTCATCACAAAAATTCAGAGCATGAGCATCTGTGACTTCCCAAGCAAAGTTAATGCATGCCCAGGTGTTAACTACTCCTCCATTGACCATTTTCTACAACAAAAGCATTACCCATAAAACTATTTTTTCACATTGTGCATAATACAAAAGATAAAATAATCACAGAATTAAGGAAGTTATGGAAAAACAAAAATATATGGAGGGATACATAAAAATAGAAGATTTGCATTGATTGATGAAGTGACTTCGGTACCTTGCACCACATGTCCCACTTGCCGACTTTTGGTAACACTAATACATCATTTTTGCCAGTGCGATCAAGAAATTTAAGCTAAGACCCAAAAAAAATAGTAAAACACAGAGAGACAATGCAAATGTAACATATATGGGAAATAAGTAGATACAAACTGATGGTTATGATACTTACGTAAGGAGGAGGTAGCACACGACCTTCAACTGTTGTGAGTTTGTTATAAAAAGTTATGCCAAATTCCTTTGTATATGGGTCCGCATTGTATAATTTTGAAGTCTGTAAAAAAAAAGTAAAACAAGATAAAGGATAAAATCTAGAGGTTGATGCAACTGTGCCTGTTCTAACAAGAATAAATACAAGGATATAACTAATTGTGTAAATTGCACCTAGTCATTATACTTGCCATTTGCCATGACAGTATGCAACAAAAAGAAGTAAAAGAACAAATTACCAAAACAGAAAAAGTAAACTCAACACTTGATGGAGGCAGACTTGCCACCACGGCATCTTTGGCCAAACAATGGCAATAGACTCAACTCAGTGGCAACCTCAACATACAGCGGTAATGGACTTGATGATCAGCAGCCTCTCAGCCAACAGCCTGCACACCATGCTGATTAGACTAGGCAGAGAACTATAACCATATGCCCTGGTTTTGTTCTCCAAAGCCAAGGCATAGGATTTGTTTATGACCACGCATGCCTGTAGAACCTCGAACAGGTCTTCCACGTTTATATAAAAGCAAACTATTTTCCTAAATATTTGACTTGTTATTAAAATTATGAAATTGTCACCAGAGAAAAAACAACACTACGACATTTCAGGTCTGCATCAATTCCACTCATCTGTGGTCCTTCAAAGCCATCTTTTGATTGTCAAGATATTCTGGACCAACTGGTTTTCTCCAAATTGTGCCGTGCAATCACCACACAGAGCTAGCTAAGTTGAAGATTGTCGAGGACTATATTGAACCTAAAGCAGTGCCTTGGAGCTACTTAAGTTGCAATTGGTTTTCTCTGTCACACGGGGTTTCAGCGCTGGTGGCCACTTCGCAACAATTCACGCAGTCCTCCCTGCCACTGCGCTGTTGATTCTCCTGGTGTGGCCTCGGGGGCACAGGTGTTGCCCGCTGCTGGTCAGTCCGGTTACGAGGGTGTGAGAGCCTGGCTTAATAGGAATGATAGATAGACTACTCATATCAACAAGGAATTCCTTCTTTTTCGGAAGTCCATCCAAAAGGAACCTCAAAGTTAGGCGTGCTTGGCTTGGAGCAATTTGAGGATGGGTGACCAACTGGGAAGTTGATCCGTTAAACATGCTTGCCTTGAGGATGGGTGACCAACTGGTAAGTAGATCACGGTGCGCAAAAGTGAGGACAAAGTGTGCAGGAAAGACTAGTGTTGGTCTGTGGGGCCAGTCTAGATCCCACCAGGCGTAACGGCCAGGAACCGGTGGTTGTGGCCGGGGCGCTACAGAGGGTTGTCGCCTCACGCAAGTTCCGGTTTGCTCTCTTCCTTCTCTATCATGCTGATTACAGTGATTAGTGTTGTGTTCTGTTGGCCTACTTAGTGACATGTTCTTGTGCCGCCCAATTTATGCGCCGCTACACCAAACATATGGACAGAAGGGACTGCCACACACTCGCACTCTGCCTGCTGTAGAACTCTCTCGTCTCCTCTGGCAACGAACAATTCTCAGCGTAGGCTCTTGCTCTGGTGGACTCGATCCCACTTCGAATCCATCCAAGTCTGCTTTCCCTCTCCGGATCCACTCCCCTCGAACCTAGCCACACTCTCCCCCCCTCCGAGATTAGACTACATTGTGAACTAAATTGTGACGCCCGGATAATTAGACTACAGTAATCCCAAGCTAATGATGCCACGTCACCTCCATTACTGTGATTAAACTCACGTTGATTCGAACCCGATTCAAATTTAAATTTAAAACATAGGCAAACAACAAAAGTTTTCAAACTTTAAAACTAAAATGTTCGGAGTGAACTAAATAATGCAGCGGTAATTATGGTGGAGAAACCACAAATTTTATAAAATGTTTATAGGCTCTAAACTAATTAAAATAGCAGCTATAACACTTAATTAAATGCCTTTTAAAAATAATAATAATACAAACTATTTTAATTAGGTGTCGAACTTTTGGGGCAGTAGAATAAATTATGACATTAAATTAGGAGTTGTATTTATACTTTATAAAACAGAAATTAAAAGAAAATAAATAAAGAAAAGAAAACAGAAAACAAAGCTAAAGAAAAAAAGAGAAAGCAACCCCCCCCCCACTGGGCTTCGGCCCAGCTGGCCTCTGGGCCAACCAGGCCGGCCCAGGTCGGCCCCCACTCCCTCTCCTTATCCCCACACCCCGCAAACCCTAGCCCACTCACGCACCCACACCCCACTCACCCCCACGATTCCTCCTCTCCCTTCTGCACCCGCCCCCGATCCAGATCGGGGCAGCGCCCCTGCGCTCGCCGCCGCTCGCCTTGCGCCCGCCC